TATAAAGATTTTCTCTCTTTTTTTTTTTTTTTTTTAAGACGGAGTTTCGCTCTTGTTACCCAGGCTGGAGTGCAATGGTGCGATCTCGGCTCACCGCAACCTCCGCCTCCTGGGTTCAGGCAATTCTCCTGCCTCAGCCTCCTGAGTAGCTGGGATTACAGGCACGCGCCACCACGCCCAGCTAATATTTTGTATTTTTAGTAGAGACGGGGTTTCACCATGTTGACCAGGATGGTCTCGATCTCTTGACCTCGTGATTCACCCGCCTCGGCCTCCCAAAGTGCTGGGATTACAGGCTTGAGCCACCTCGCCCGGCCGATTTTCTCTTCTTTTTAAGGTAAGAACCTTAAAGTTTTGCTTTTAATTCTTGGGTTTTTACTTGGCCTGTAGTTAATTTTTTTGCTTCATGGTGCAAAGAAGGGGTTCAATATACCTTTCTGACTGAATATCCCATTTCCTCAGTATCATTTATCCCATTAGACTCTCTCTTTACAGCCACCCTGTTTTAATTGATAGGATTTATAATATGCCTTAATATCTAATAGTGCTAGCTGTCTTCTCATTGTTCTTCTTTTTCAGAGTTTTTGTAGCTAGTTACGTTTATTTTTCCATATGTACTATAGTATCAACTTGTCAAAAAGCCTCGACAAAAAAGTTTTTGGTATTTTCATTGGGATTATATGAAATTTTTAAGTTAACTGAAGGAAAATTGACATATTTTGCTTGAGATTTCTCTTATCCACAACACGGTAGTTTTTCCATTTGTATAAATCTTTTGTATGCTTCATTAATATTTGAAAAGTTTTCTTTATATAGTTCCTGTATATTTTTTATTAGGTTATTACAAGATACATTATCTTTCTGTGTTGCTACTGGGAGTTAGGTCTTTCCTTATATCTTCTTTCTGCTTATTTGTAACATGGAAGCTGTTGACTTCTGCTCCATTTACTGAATTTTCCTACAGCTTTTTATGATTTCTAAATTAATATTCTTGGGATTTCCAGGTATTTAATAATATTATCTGCGGATATTAAGTTTGCTTCCTTCTTTTTAAGTGACCACTGATTTCTTTCTCTTGTTTCACTGCATTGTCTGTGTTGAGAAAAAAATAATAGTGATATTAGGCATCCTGGTCTCGATACTCACTTCAGTGATGCATTGGTGTTCTATTCCTGTCTAACAAATTACCTCAAACTTGGCACCTTAAAACAACATGCATCTATCAGCTCGGTTTCCATGTATCAGGAACCCAGCCACGGCTTAGCTGGGTGTTCTGTTCAGGACTTCATAAAGCTGCAATGAAGATATTGGCTAGGTTGTGTTAATTTTTGAAGCTCAGAGTCCTCTTCTAAGCTTAAGTGGTTGTTGGCAGAATTCTGTTCCTTGCAGATGTGGGGAAGAAGTCCCTGTTTTCTTGTTGGCTGTTGGTCTGGGGCTGCTCTCAGGTCCTAAAAGCTTCTTGCAGTTCCCTGCCATGTGGGGCTCTCAAAACATGGTAGCTTATTTCTTCAAGGCCAACAGAAAAGTCTTTCAGGGACACCTTGAATCCTTTTTTAAAGGACTTGCCAGATTAAGTCAGACTCACTCAGGATGATCTCCCTCTTCATTAACTCAAAGTCAGCTGATTAGGAATATCAATCATATCTGCAAAACCCCTTTACCCTTGCTATATTCCACTGGTTAAAAGCCAGTCACAGGTTTTACCTACACCCAAGGGAAGGGATTATACAAGGTACGGATACCAGGGTGTGGGGATCACAGAGGCCACCTTGGTTAGAATTCTGCCTACTACTAATGCTAATGTTTCTACAGTTTCCCCATCGAGCATAACACTTACTATCCAATTTCCATTTATCCTATTTATTGAGTTACAAAATTAAGAATAGATATTGAATTATGTGAAATTTCTTTTCAATGTCTATAGAAATAATCATGATTTTTCATATTAGATCTATTGATTCACTAATATTGAATCTTTCCTGCCTTTCTAGGATAAACTGCACTTGGCTATAATATTTGTTATTCATTTAATGTTCTGCTGTATTCTGGCTGATAATATTGTCAGAAGAGTTTTGTGCCAGTATATTGAAATGTGTGGTTTGGCTTTTCTTTTCCTATGCAATGCTGGCAGTTTTGGAATAAATGTTTTGCTGCCTGTATTGAAAACATGAAAGCATTTCCTTCTTTTTCAATACTCTCAAACAATTTAAAAATCATTAGAATTCTGTGTTTCTTAAAGAGTTGGTAGATTTTACTATAAAACTGTCCCTGGTTTGAATGCAGCTCTTTGATGTTTTTCTAAATTTCTTTAATGTCAATTGGCATGTTTAGATTTACTAAATATAGTTGGCCTCCATATCCATGGGCTCTGCATCTATGGATTCAACCAACTGCAGATTGAAGATTTTTTTTTTAAATCACATCTGTACAGAATTTTTTTGTCATTATTCCCTAAACAATACAGTACAACAGCTATTTACATGGCAGTTGCATTGTAGTATAAGTAATCTAGAAATGATTTAAAGTATACGGGAGGATATGCACAGGTTATATACAAATATTATGCCATTTTATATCTGGCATAATATTGGAGCATCCTTGCATTTTGGTATCTGCAGGAGGTCCTGAAACCAATCCCCCACAGATACCAAACACAACTATATACATATTAATTTTTCACTCATAGAACCAACTGTATTCAGGAAGAGAAAGACACATAATCCTGCCACCCAGGTCTTCATTTTCCTCTTTTGGCAACACCAGAAAACCCCTATTGGCCAAAGGATTATGTTCAATCTCTTTCACATTGTTCTCTTACTGTGTCTCCAGTCTCATCTTTTAACACTGTCTGCTTCAATCTCTGAACTTCAACAACAATGACCTGCTTATAGTTCTTGCCCTCCCTATATCTTTTATACTTCTATGCCTTATTCACACTGTGCTATTTGCCAGAACTTCCTCTTTCCCCTTTGCAATATAGCTATATTTTATCCTCATATTGGGCATCGTTTTTTCTAAAAGCCTCCTTGGATCTGGGTAAGTTATCTCTCTCTTCTCTTGATATACTGATTTATACTTATCTGTATATATGTCTATCTCCTCCATTAGAATGTGAGATCCATGAGGGCAAGGACAGTGTCTTTTTATAGCCCTAGTATATTACACAGTGTGTTGTGTATGAATGAAAGTATGAATGTAGAGAGTGCTAAGATGAAACAAGGTAGCTGACTTCAAGTATCTGAAGGATTTTCACAAGAAAGAGACTTGTTCTTTTTACTACGTAAGGTGGTACTAGGATCACTAAGTGAAAGTTATTAAGAAGCAGATTTAAGCTTAATATCAGGAAGAACTTTCTCACATTTAGCGCTGTTCTGTAATAGACCACGATGTCATGAAACATCGACTTTTTGCACTAGAAGAACTTAAAGCAGGATCTGAACATCTTGTAGGATGCTATTAAAAATAGTCTTGCAATGTGTTTTCAAGTAATTTTCAAGCTGTAATACTTCGAGCCCCATGGATTCCAAAGAGACACTTCAGGATTGGGGATGGGAAAGGAAAAGAAAGGAAAAGGAAAAGAAGACCCAATTCAAATGAAGCTCTGAACTTCCCACTTTCCTCTATAATAACAGCAGCTCTGTTTCACTTCCTTTTTTTTTTTTGAGACGGAGTTTCGCTCTTGTTACCCAGGCTGGAGTGCAATGGCCCGATCTCGGCTCACCGCAACCTCCGCCTCCTAGGTTCAAGCAATTCTCCCGCCTCAGCCTCCTGAGTAGCTGGGATTACAGGCACGTGCCACCATGCCCAACTAATTTTTTGATTTTTAGTAGAGGCGGGGTTTCACCATGTTGACCAGGATGGTCTCGATCTCTTGACCTCGTGATCCACCCACCTCGGCCTCCCAAAGTACTGGGATTACAGGCTTGAGCCACCGCGCCCGGCCCACTTTCTTTTGATATACTGGGTTTTCAGCTACAATACGGCGGTTTGAATAAAGAGGTCCAAACATGTTAAAAACATCTGAAAACCATGAGACGGGCCATTTCGCGTCTGCAGTATACACATTGCCCCCTGCCACACATAAACACTTTAAATGTTATATCTATATATCTAGAGATAGGTATATAGATATTCAAAGATATCTATTATATATCAATCATATAACCTGTGTGAGGAGATCTATAGATATACTTATATCTGGATATACAGCGCCTTGCACATGAGTCATAGATGCTCAATAAATGTTTTCTCTCTTTCTTGTTCTTTTGCCTTCAAGAGATTTGTTCCCTCAAAATCTCTTGAAGGATCTTAACGCTGTATTGTTATTTAGAGAACTTGTTGCTTCAGCTTTCCTAGGAGCTCCATCAAGGTAAGTACTGCATATTTTTCTTCTTTGTAGTTCCTGCAGCGCTGTAACATTGCTTCCCCTATACAAAACACTCTCACCTCTGACCACATAAAACATAAAGGTTTAGTTCCCATTTTCCCGGCTAAGTAGCTATATTGGGAATAGAACAGGTTGAAATTACTTGATTAGGCAATCATAAGAAAATGGTGTAGAATGAAAGATATTAATTAAAACATCAATGGCCCCAGTAAGGAGAACAAAAATGGAGGTCCTGCTGTGTTCTCTGATAATCTGGCATGAGGTGGCTAAGTATCCATATAGCAAGCCTATACCCTACTTCTTACATAGATCAGGACTCTTGGTACTATTTTGGTCTAGATTTTTGCTACAGATTTATGGTACAGATTTCTCTTGAACATTTTTTTCTGTTGAAATAAAGGTATTGAAACCCTGGGTTCTTCATCTCGGGGCTCTGTTTCTTCCTAATTACCTTGGTGCCTACTGTCCCCGGCTTTGTACATAAGGCTGACACATATTCCAGAACAAACAAAAGTTATCTTAGCTGACTAAGGATGAAATGTACAACCCCCAAATTCCAAGCCATGTGGAATATACCCTAGCATTAGATCGCAATGATTAACCCTAGTTTTACCTCTAGCTTTTCATTATAGAAGTCTCTTGTAGTATAATTTAATGTAGCACGATTTGTATTTTCTCCTACAAGTCTTTTGCTGTCATTATTTTCTTCATTGCTAATACCAGGTTTTTTTCCTTTGGATTCTAGCAGATACCGAAATTGCTTTTTCCTGCAGAAAGACAGTAAAGAGATTCAGAGAGTTACTCCTCAGACTTACTAAAACATGTCTATTTTTTGTTGACATAGAGGGGAACATATACTTTGTTTTAACGAGTTTGAGTTTATGATTTATTTGAGTTCAGTTTGGTACCCAAATCTTTCTACTAATTAAGCTATTCGACCCCAATTATTCTGTTCCATAACTACCAATCATCAACATAAAGATGTCTCAAACACTTGTAAAATGGAAAAACTCTCCTTTAATAAAAATCAACGAAAATTAATCACAGAGTGCAAAACCCAAAAAGTGTAGTAGGTCAAACTTTCAAAGTCTTTATGTCCCATAAAACATGCTAGTTACGACTTATCAATCACACAAATGGCTAATAATTCCATTATGCAGCTTGGTAATATTACGCATAGCTAGAAAATGGAATGGGATCTTGGCTTAAGTTTAGGCAAATCCAAAATAGACCATAAACCAAAAACCTCCAACTGTGAGCATATTATGGCAAGATTCTAGCGGAGGTTAAATATCGAAACAAGAAGCCTCATTTGATTATGAAGAGGAACATACCCAGTGCTCACAGTATCACTTACAGAGCCATCTGCCAGGATTCATCCTCCATGAGGGTGGATTTCTGGTTTCCACCACTTAGGGTGTCTCTAAAGGATACTAGACTGTGAACTGTGTACTGAAGATTGAGAACAGAAGAGGAATATAACTTTTTTAAAAACTTATTTTTCTCTGATCTAAAAGTGTAACACAATTATTTTAGAGATTTTAGGAAGTACAATTTGAAAAGTAAAAAGAAATGGGTAAAAACCATCCATAAGTTTTCATAAATTAATAATGTTCACATGTGACATATTTCCTTGCAAACTTTTTCTATTAATTTTTGTAAAAAATTAAGATCATACTAAATATACAACTTTGTATTTCCTTAATGCTATATATTTTATATATCATAAAAAATTATTTTAATACATGAATAAAAATCAATTGGGATATAGATCACAATTTACTTAATTGGTTCCTCTTATAGGATAGTTATGTAGTATAATTTTCTAAACTTTGTAAAGAAAAAAGTAAATAACATATAGATCTTCATTTCTATTTATTTTATTTTAAGTTCCAGGATACCTGTGCAGGATGTGCAGCTTTGTTACATAGGGAGATGTTTTGTGATGGTTTGCTGCATGTATCAACCCATCACCTAGGTATTAAGCCCCACATGCATTAGCTATTTATCCAGATGCTCTCCCTCCTGCTGACTGCTGACAGGCCCCAGTGTGTGTTGTTGCCCTCCCTGTGACCACGTGTTCTCATTGTTCAGCTCCCACTTATAAGTGAGAACATATGGTGTTTGGTTTTCTGTTCCTGTGTTAGTTTGCTGAGGCTAATGGCTTCCATCTCTACCCATGTTCCTGCAAGGGACATGACCTCATTTCTTTTTATGACTGCATAGTATTCCATGGTGTATATGTACCGCAATTTCTTTATCCAGTCTATCACTGACAGGAATTTGGGTTGATTCCATGTTTTTGCTATTGTGAATAGTCCTGCAATAAACATATACATACATGTTATAACAGAATGATTTATATTCCTTTGGGTATATATCCACTAATGAGATTGCTAGGTCAAATGGTATTTCTGGTTCCGGGTCTTTGAGAAATTGCCATACTGTCTTCCACAATGGTTGAACTAACTTACATTCCCACCAACAGTGTTAAAGCATTCCTATTTCTCCATAGCCTCGCCAGCATCTGTTGTTTCTTGACTTTTTAATAATCACCATTCTGACTGGCATGAAATATTATCTCATTGTGGTTTTGATTTGCATTTCTCTAATAATCAGTGATGTTGAGCTTTTCTTTTTCATACGTTTGCTGGCTACACAAATATCTTCTTTTAAGATGTGTCTGTTTATGTCCTTTGCCCACTTTTTGATGGTGTTCATTTTTTTCTTGTAAATTTGTTTAAGTTCCTTATAGAGTCTGGACATTAGACCTTTGTCAGAGGGATAGATTACAATATTTTTCTCCCATTCTGTAGGTTACCTTCTTTGCACTGATGATAGCTTCTTTTGCTGTGCAGAATCTTGGCTTAATTAGATCCCATTTGTCAATTTTTGCTTTTGTTGCAATTACTTTTGATGTTTTCGCTGTGAAATCTTTGTTCGTGCCTATGCCCTGAATGGTATTGCCTAGATTTTCTCACCCTGTCACACAGGCTGGAGTACAGTGATGCTATATTGGCTCACTGCAACCTCCGTCTCCTGGGTTCAGGCAATTCCCCTGCCTTGGCCCCCCAAGTAGGTGGGACTACAGGTGTGTGCCACCACCCCCAGCTAATTGTTTGTATTTTTAACAGAGATGAGGTTTCACCACGTTAGCCAGGATGGTCTCCATCACCTGACCTCATGGTCTGCCCTCTTGATCTCCCAAAGTGCTAGGATTACAAGAAGTGAGCCACCATGCCAGGCCAAGAGTTAGTGTCTACTAATAGAAGACTTTAATTCACATCTATGGTGATAATCCAAATGCTTTTCCTCCCCCTGCTTTTTGTTGATCACTTTTTTCCTTTTAGTAGTTCAGAAATTAGCCATCTAATCTTTCTCTAATGAAAACCCTCAATATTTTAACACACACAAATGTGTATTTTTCCATCAAATTTTATTGTTATTTAGTACCTATTATCTCTCCTAAACAGGGAAAGAAAGTAAACTTTAACTTCCATTCTTTTAGGATTTTCTCAAATTTTCACTTTTAGGTTATTTAATCTTTTTAACATTATACATTAACACTTATTCAGACAACTATAATTTTTACTGATTTCTTTCTACATCATCATTTCTTGAATTCAATGCTTCCCTCTTTTTTTGTTTTGCTTTTTTTTTCCCAGAATGGTTTTATGGGTTTTAGATAGGATTTAGATTCCATCAATCAGATATACTTGGGTAAGATTTGAATTCAGAACTGAGCTAAGTGGGGAAATATCAGTAGTATGCGAAAGACTCACTTTGTTAGTGTAAATTATAGTAGGGTAACATGGTTCTGGAGCCAGACTCTGGGGAGCAGAGTAGAGAACTTCCTGATCCCAGCAGTTAAAGTGGTGTGATCCTGGTGCTCACAGCTGGGACAATAGGCTCCTGTTGTTCTTGACTGCAGCAAAGTGCTCCATGACCAGAGTGGTGGCAGTTTCCCTTATGGGCTTGTTCTATGGTATCATTCTGGGAGACACCATAGAATCTCCCAGATTCTACGGAGGCTCAGTCTAGAGACAGCTTCCTCAACCCTCTCAATGATTTTGTAGCGATCTAATTCCTTGCTTACTCTAACCAGAGTGACTTGTACCATCTGTAACTGAATCACGGCTGATCAACCACCCTTCACTATTTCTTCATCCATGCTGTACCTTGTCAGTCGGTGTGTTCTGTCAGATTTCCTCTTCTCCATCTTGCTGCCTTGGCTCAGGCCCTCATAATCTCTCCTAGACTACAGAGTAACCACTTGATTGATCTTCATTACTCAATCTCTACCTGCCCAAATGGCAGCCTTTCAAGAATGTAAATCCAATTATATGATTGCTTGTACTTCATTACAAAACACAAGTTTTCATTTTTTCTTGGCATGGATTGGAAAGCTCTTCAAAGTCAGACCACAATCAATCTTTCTAGCTTCATTTCCTATCACTTATTCATAATCATCCCATGTTCCAATTATATGGAGCTATTTATAATTACTTGTGCTTTTACAGGTATCTTGCCCCCATATCCTCTACCTGAAAACTCCTACTGATTCCCAAAGAACTAGATAAAGATGTCTCCTTTGTGAAGCCTTCCTCAGTATTCTTCCAAAATGTGGTTAGTCTCTCCAATGGCCCTCTCTTATAGTACCAGAAACATTACATTTTAATTGCTTGTGTATACCTTCAACTTAATAGACTATAAGCCATGGGAGAATAAGGACTTCATCTTATTTATCTTAATATCCCCAACACTTTCAATAGGGCCAGTCTAGGATACACGTTTATGGGCCATATAATTAGCATAGTTAAGAGGTATATGGAATTTGTTTCTTCTTCTAGTGTAACAGTAATTCTATAAAAACTATAAAAATTAAAGGTTACCTGGCATCACTCAGAATGGAAATCAGACGATACTGGGGTAACTCAGAAGATGCTACATGTGCTAGGATTCCAAAGAGCCTTTCAGCCATTATCATATCATTCTGTGTCACCTGAAGAGATATGATAGAAAGGGGTAAAAACTGACACCACCTCTTAGCTGGATAAAACTAATATAATCCCAAAGAGAGGTCCAGATTAAATATTATCTTTTAAGCCCACAAAAGCGCATTCTCCTGTGCTGTAGGGAGAAGAGTTTTCACTGATATTTTTCTTTCTTGAATTAAAATGAAGATGTATAATTGCAGTTCATGATGATGGAAGTTGATTGGAGGTGATGAGTTAGTTCTGGTTTAGAAGCTGTATTTCCTGAGAATTACACTTGAGGTAACTTCAATTTTTAGTGATTTTTTTCAGAAATCCTATAGCTTCTTGGAGTAGAATGATTTCAAGGAGAAAATTCCCAAGTGTCAATGGAATAGATTCATTTTAATAATGTGTCAAAGGTAAGCCAAGATGTTGGTTACCTTGCTCTTACAGGAATAATTCTGTCCCTTCCTGAGAGATGGAGCTTTCACTGAATTAGCCAGGATGCTCCTGTTCATTCTAAATTTAGGTCAGTCTTTCTCCCCAACAAGAATAACTTGTCACAAGTATACCCTATGAGGGCTCATTCTTATATTAACCAAGAAAGTACTAAAACCTGAAAGCAGCACCTGTATTGCTATCTGGGCATATTTTCTTTAATACATAATAGGGTTGCTTATATTTTAAATACTGTTGGTTTGTCTATATAATAAAATGATCCCAGCCAAGAGTCATTTTGCCCCCTACAGAACATTTGGTAATGTCTGGAGATACTTTTAGTTATTCCTGGACATGACTGGCATCTAGTGGGTAGAGAGCAAGTTGCTGTTAAAGCATGGTACAATGCAGAGGACAGCCCCCACAACAAAGAATTATCCGGCTCAAAAGGTCAGCAGAGCCAAGGTTGAGAAACCCTGGTACAATTAAATTTTTGGATCTTTTGAAAATTCGTTCCTAACACTAGCTGTAATACTCTTCACAGGCATTTTCTTAAAAACAAAGCAATAATTCACAAACATCTTATACATATGAATCAGTTCAGACTAAATCTCTTCTCTTCCCTGGATCTTCATAGTTAAGGAGGCTTCTATTCCCTCAAGTTCTTCCTTAGCTAATAACTAAGTTATATCTGATCCAGTATAGTCACCTAGTGGCCAATGCAGGCCACTACTCCGTCTTTTCTTCTTGATCTTCATAATTCAATTTAATTCTACCTCAAGCAATATCATTCTTTTTTGTACACAGAAAAGTAGAAATGCAGTGCAACATTACTATATAAGATTGAGGACTTTACAAACAGGAATATATTTTAGGTATTTTAATAAAGTGTCAAATATCCCTGGCATTAACATTTTCAGAAATTTAAATCAGAATAAATTATATTGGCTATTTCTAATTCTTCTTTACTTTATGTAATTATACTATTTCTTTCTAATTCAAAGTTCTATAATAACAGATATTCTTCCAGTAATGATCCATATCTGGGTAAATACACTATTTGGGGTTAATAAGGGTAATGGTTTGGCCATTAAGGGGGAATCACTCACCCATAGTCAAAATAACCATTCTCTTTCCAGTCTTGGCTAACTTTAGAAACCTTTAGGACTAATTATTAGGTCCTTCCGGGGATTCGCAACCTTGCCTCTGGGGAAGTACCAAATAGTATATGTGAGTACACAAGACTGATCCAGCCCTCTTAAAAACTAGCTGGAGAAATTAAAAGTCATCTGAAGATTCAGGTTTACCCAACATCTTCAGCAGATGGCTGATTCTGAGGTCACAGAAATACCATGGTTGATGCACATTTCATATAGCTGCTTGTACATTGATCCAGAGATGTACAGTCTCCTCATAGCATGCTGAATTTTTGGAGTTAAGTATTTATCTGTAGTGTACCAGCTGCAGGAAAACAGTTACTGTGCCAGAAAGTTGACTACAGTGGATTTTATAATAAGGAGGTCTTCTGAATTTCAAGATATATTGTAATAAGACTAACATATTAAAGATGATTTTTTTTTCCTTTGGAGGAGTATTTAAATTCAGTAGTGGTAGAGGCATAGTTGCTCTCTTTTCTTCCAAATTAATATTTAAAAAGAACATGGTTTTTGAGTAGCTGGGGGATGACCTTGTGACAAGCTTAGCAGAATCAATCTAAGAATAACTTTTCACTAATAATTTTCCAGCTATTCAGCTCCAGACCTGAGTTGCTCATGGTAGTCATGGCACAGGCAGCTGCTACCAACTATTAACAAAGCAGTCTAGACATTTACATAAGCTTGTTTTATTTTCTTTTTCTCTTATTTTTACTTTCTCTTCTTTTACCTTTCTTCCTGGCTTATTCCTCCTTTTTATCTCTTCTTTTTGTAAATCATCTTCTTCCTCCCCCTGCTTTTTTTTTTTCATTTTATTCTTCCCTTTCTCTACCACAATACCCTTAATTAGTTGACATTTAGGTTTGACTTCCTTATTCCCTCTTGCATACCAGGCAGTCTGCAAAGTACTTTGAGAAATACAAAGATCACATTACTTATAGAAGAGTTTCTTTTATTTTTAACTGTCACCCCACCATTTTATTTCACTGAACATTTAACACACAACAGTAAAATATTTGCCATTCAGTATAACCTGGTTACTATTTTACTTTCACAATTTGTTTAGTGCTTTGGAAGTTTTAAAACAGATTTTTAGGTTTTTGACATTTTAAATATCAATATATTTTTAAAAACCAATATGCCTCAAATGTTCTATCATGGTTATTTAAATTCCTAACCATTTAAAATAACTACTTCCCCTAAGAAGGAATATATTTATTCTATAGTTCACCTAGTTTTTAGCTTACCTCTGTTCCATTTATTTTCTGCATGCTAAAATGGCTTAGCCTAAACAGTACGTAGTATTTCCAGAGGGTAAAACTGACAACTGGATTTCCTTGAGGGTCAACTGTCAACTGGTCAACACGCCGGAGTTGCGCTAGTGCATTAAATTGCTGCAGCATTCCAAGATTTGTTTCCTTGAATTTAAGGTGCTAGAATGATAAAACACAAAAAAAGATCAGAACATTGAGTTTAACCATACTGAAATATTAACATTAAAGCTTCACTGATCATTCCCCAAGTCAATATGCAAACTCTAGGCTTAGCAAATATGCTTTCCATTACATTAAAACAACTGAATGTACTAAATTTATGTAACTTTAATTCAGCCAACGTACCATTGACCAAATCCATCCAATATTGAATTCTGGGTGACTCCTTCTATAAGTGACATTCGCACTTATAACATTCTTTAAAGTTACATAAATAACAAGTAATGCAGATTTTTTTCAGGAATTATTGATTTTATACACTTTACACTGACACTAAATAAATTTTTTAAAAATACAGAAAATGAAAATTTTAGAACTTTATAAATACATGGCCCACAATTTTTCTAAGAAGAACTAGTTAGTTGTTTTTACTTGTATCTTGGCAAACACTGTGTAGGATAGTTATACTGGCTACAGAAAAATCAAATCACTAAAACTGCAATGTTAATGCAAGCATTCTGTATGTGAATCTAGATGCTCTTTTCTAAACACGCTGTCTCCACCCCTATCTTTTTTAGAGAGAATGAAGTGAAAAAAAAAAAAAAAAACAACTCCACCGAAAAGGCAGGTAAGGGATGTCATGTGGCTAACAGAGAAAAACACAGCAACATTAAAAACTGAAGAGAGAACTCATTATAGAAATCACAGTTTCTACAAATGCATACTAAATAATACAATGACACCATAAATGAGGAAGGCTAATTTCTTAAAGTAATTTTAATGTGCTACTAAAATTATTTTCAACACTATTAGGGGATTTTTGTAAAAATTATATGATAAATATACATCTCACCATTACTAGGTATAATAGGTGAATACGTAAGGCTATGTGGTAAAGCCGAATGCTTTATAAAGTAGAAACGTATAACTTGAATACAATTATATCAGTCTTTTTCTAACCCATAAAGGATCATTCTTTCAAGATATAATTTCCAATGTTAACATAAAACTTGAAGGCCATTTTATGAATGAGCTAATTTAAATCCTAGCTCATGAAAATCAACACAAAACCTTAATCTTCCTGCCAGATAGAGACTACATAAATAAAAGTTAAAACAGGTCTTTGGCCTGAACACACAAGTCATGACTCAGAATAATTCAAATATGCTACTGAAAGGAAATATTTACCAGAGAATTAGGAAACTTAATCTTCAGTTTGGGAAGCACTTGGACGATTTCATCAAATTCTATGAAAGTGAAGGAGACTGTTGTGATCATTCCTGCCGTTTGAACACTCCAATTCCTATCCAGAGATTCCAGCGCTCCTGAGCCATACAGGGAAAGTGTATCCCCGTCTACTTCAACAAGGTATGTGTCTATGACAGATAAACCTTGTAAAGCATTGTTGAGTCCTGAGTCTAGAGGCCTGGAAAATCCAAATAAAATTTTAAATAAAATACTTATCAGGCAGAATATCTAACAGTATAATGACCTATTAGAAAATCTCTTCACAATTTTATATTCTTTTTTCATTTTGGTAATTAAACCCAGAGCATTCAAGACTAACTTTCAATAGACTATCTGGAAGTTTTATATTATTCTAATCATATATTTTAATTTAAAAAGAGCCATATTATGAAAAAAAGATCACCTCTAAACCAAAATTATTTATATCCATGAAAGATAATTAATAGTCTCTTTAGTTTTAAAACAACCCATTTACTACATTATGGTTAGTTTTTCATGTCAATACAAATAGGTTTTCCCAATCTATAACATTTTCTGACTAGAAAAAATTGTAGTTTACAAATTAATATTTCTACAGTAAGAACCATACATGTAAAAATATGTTTATAAACCAAATAATAACTGCTAAAAATAGTTTATTTCTCAGAGGTTATATTAAGGGGTAACTCTGGCCTTCTATTTTTGAATACTTCAGTGGTTTTTAAAAAATTTTAAAGGGTATATATTATAATCAGTAAAATCAGTGAAGATTTCCTCCTCATTTCGAAATACGAAATGGTGAAAAGGAATCATTATATTATATACATACACTATATAAACACGCTTCTCATACTGCACTGAATTTGGTAATTATTATTTCCAAGGTAGAAGCCACATTTTTTATACAAGGCTACCTAAATGATAGCTAGAGAATAAGTGAAATATCTTAATCCCAGTCATATTTTCTGCTCTGTGAATACAGACATAACTATTTGTTTTACTCAACCTCAAAACTTAAGCGAAGCACGGTGTTTGTTTCTGCATTTTCCTTCTGGGATTTCTGCCCTCATTAAGTACTTATTTGCCCCTACTAAAATCAGCGTCTCACTCTCGTTTGTGCTGCGATGGTCTCCGGTACACTCCTGGAACACATCACTCCTCATACTATATTCTAATTTATGCTGATAATTTTGCCTGTTATTCCAGATAGTGAGTGAGGCTAGAGATTGTATGTTTTTACATCTTTGAGACCCAAAACCTAGTAATGAGCTTGTAACAATGTATACTGAATGAATTATTAAAGATCCTCAAACATTTTACAATCTTGATGCTAAGGGAAAAAACTAAGAAAGCATCCCACCCTGTTGGTTTATCATACCTATTTTGGAGGTGCCAGTTAACCTTCTACACATTTGTTTATTCAGTAACACGCTGAGTAATAATATCAGTCTACTTTAAATAAATATGCAACCAAGAAAACACAAAAAGACTTCATTTCTACCAGACGCTTAAGACAAATACTATTGTATGACAAAAATCAAATATCCAATGAGTAGTAGTATATGAATGGTCTCAGATGATAATCTTAGAAAGCGAATTAGTTCCATGAACTGTGCTTTGTGTGATACACTGAGTCAGATTATAGCTCATTAAGGTTGGTTATATAATCAATACTGGAACAGAATAAAGGACAGTTTCACTGCCACTCTTGATGAAAAGAGTGCATACTGCTATTACAATACTTGCCACTTTGTACTGTAATTACTTGTTGCCTCATCTATCTCTCTTACTAAACACAGTGATCCTTGAGGGCTTGAATTTTGTTACAATTAGTATAGTAGATCCAGTATTTAGTATAGCTCCTAGCACATGCTCTGCTCAATACATATTTCTTGGGTGAATTAATGAAGTGAGACAGTGATCAAGTTTTTAATGAGTGTGTATTAGATCTTAAGAAGGATATTCAAACCATAAGCTATGGTTTCTGTAAAGGGGCAGCATCAGTGATACAGACACAGAATAAGGGTTAGCAAAAAGGTTTATCCAGGTGAGGCAAAGACATGTAATGAACAAGGAAGGTAAAGGGAAGAAAAACAGCTAGTTGACATAGGGATGCCTCATGGCCACAGTAACCAGCAAAAATGTTTAATGCAAAAATGATGGAGAATCAGAGCTCTGCACCAAAAACATCAATAAATCCTTTGAGAAATGATATTGCTCCACATCATATATTTAGAACTGTCTTGCCTTTCTTTTTCTACATAATTAAAAGTTTATTCCACACAGTAAAAAGTGTCTGTCATCAGAATGGGATTATTTATTTTGTGCAAAGGGCTTGTCAAGTAAACTGTTGAGGAAATAAGTGACATAATAAACAAGGCTGCTCTCAGGAAAACAGTGACATGGTTACAAAACAAAGCAGAAGTAATCTCCAGTTTAGATAGCTGTCACATGCACATTTGGTAAAAACAAATGGCAAGTCTCCTGGGCTGCAGGCAGGCTCATCCTTTTCACTAGGAAACACAGCACCTAGTAAAGAGGCCATATAACACCTAACCCATTTCAGTTATTTTCTGAATGAAGCTTTTGAGTTTAGCCTTAAACTCTGACCAATGTTTACAAATTTGCTCCTCTGGAAAAGTGTATTCTGAGTTCTATAAAAAATGACGTCGCTTGCTAAACAGCGTTTATATTTTGGGGATTGTTCTTCCAGTTTTCCTTGTATCCTTAGTAGATATGGCTGCATCTTTTTAGTTACACATACACACATATTAATTAATTAATTAATTATTTCTTTCATTTACCAAACATGTCCTGAAAGCCCAGTATCTATAAAACACTGTGCTAAGAATTCTGGCAGATGTCATTAAATCATCTGTATTGATAAGAACAATCAACATTGAGATTATATAAAGGTTTTTTGATATAGCAAAATTATTGCTCACCTTTACTGGGTGATAGTTTCAGAAATATAACTGCTCTAATCCTACTCTGCAGTCAACCTAATAAACACAGGGGATATAATTTTTAAACTAAAATGACCTCAGTATCTCAATAAACAAACAGTTTTTTGTGGAGAGCTTATTATGTGTCAGATACTGTGTTAAGCATTGGGGATATAAAAATAAATCAAGATATATATTTTCTTTCAAAGAGCTGTCAATCTGGAAGAGTGTTGAGAGGAAGATGAATAAATATATATTAAATATAAAATAATGTGCTTATTGTGATATAACGAATATTTAAACCATGCACACAGAGAAAGGAATGACTAATTCTTCTAGAGGGGAAAAGTCAAGTTTCAAAAGGAGGTTGCATTTGAACTGATCCTCAAGAGATAAACAGCAGATTTTTATCAGGAACAGAAGTTGGGAAAACATAATGAAGAAGGGTGCAGAAATGATTACTAAGTTCAGGGGCACATGTGCAAACGGATACAGATTTTCTTTTGTATGATTCAGGACCTGATTATTTATGTAAGAATAATTTCTTTTTTTAACTTTTAAGTTCAGGGGCATATGTACAGTTTTAAAACATAGGCAAACGGTGTCATGGGGATTTGTTGTATAGATTATTTCATCACCCAGGCATTAACCCATTAGTTATTTTTCCTGATCCTCTTCCTCCTCCCACCTTCCATCGTCCAATAGGCCCTGGTGTGTCATTCCCCTCCGTGTGTCCATATGTTATCATCATTTAACTCCCATTTATCAGTGAGAACATGTGGTATTTGATTTTCTGTTCTGTGTTAGTTTGCTAAGGACAATTGCCTCCAGCTCCATCCATGTCCCTGCAAACAACGTGATCTCATTCTTTTTTATGGCTGCATAGTAGTCCATGGTGTATATGTACCACATTTTCTTTTCTTTTTTTTTTTTTTCAGACACAGTTTCACTCCGTTGCCAAGGCTGGAGTGCAGTGGCACAATCTCAGCTCACTGCAACCTCTGTCTCCTGGGTTCAAGAGATTCTTGTGCCTCTGCCTCTCAAGTCGGTAGGATTATAGGTATGTGCCACAATGCCCAGCTAATTTTTGTATTTTTAGTAGAGACAGGGTTTCACCATGTTTGCCAGGCTAGTCTTGAACTCCTGACCTCAAGTGATCTGCCTGCATTGGCCTCCCACATTTTCTTTATTCAGTCTATCACTGATGGAGATTTTGATTGACTCCATATCTTTGCTATTGTGAATAGTACTGCAATGAACATACAGCATGTTTATGTGCCTTTATAATAGAGTGATTTATATTCCTTTGGGTATATACCCAGTAATGGGATTGCTGGGTTGAACCGTATTTCTATGGCTGGAACACTAAAACACCAGACAGGAACACTGAAACATGCAGGGGAGTAGGACCTGGAAATGAGCCCGAAAAGTCAGATTTTATCCTGCATGGTTCAGAAGCAGAAAAAGGTTTTAAATTAAAAAAAATAATGAGGCCATATTCAATGCAAGTTTTTAAGCACCTCCAAAGTATTATGCATGGATCTAGGTACTAGTGTTGGGGATACAAAGATGAGTAAGATATGCTCTCTGCTCTCAAAGACCCGCTTCAGACAGATAAGTCAATCAATTGTGTGCAGGACATAGTAGGAGAGGCTGAATGTAGGGAATGAGTAAGAATACCAGTGCAAAGGTGTCAACTAGACCAGATTTGGGCAGAGCAAAAAACAGTATGGTGTAGTCGAAATGGCAATGGCAAGAAAATGAGATAGACCTTAGTTCAGATTCTAGATTGATAACTGATGACTTTTGGGGCGAGTTATTTAATTCTTTGAGTTTCAGTTTCCTTGTATGTAAAACGATTATCATAATACATGTACTTCAGAGTTGTGAGGATTTGAAAAAGTATTCTAAACTATGCCTCATACTTAGCTCCATACATTTTCATGATTATTAATAAAAGAGAGCATAGATTTAACAGATAATTAAGAATAAAGTAAGAAACTGGTTGATTGGAGAATAGAGGAAAGAGTGGAATTAAGTGTGAATCACATTTCTAGAGTGGGTAACTGGTCATCCTGCCCAGTTTCCTACCTTTGTCTAGTCTAAATTTGTACTCTAAGAAAGCTGATATTCTTCTCTGAAGGATCTGTTTAAAATTTGTTTTCCCATAAAGTCCAATGCATTTCCAATTACATTCTCCAACTGAATAGTAATTATATAACAGCAGGCAGAATGACATCAAATATGAATTCTC